TTTATAGTTTTTTTTTTTTTTTTTAGCATAAATAACTCTAAGGCCACAGGGCACGTTTTTTAGAATGTTAATTTATTTTCAGTAAAGTGAATTTCTTTTTAAATCAGAAAAGCAAGGTATTTCTAGTTTTTGTAACAAATAGTTCCTCTTTTGGGCCTAGTCTGGTGTCTATGTATTGAGAGAAGACAGCACGAACTGTTTTTTCTTCTTCACTACATCCTAGATCCATCCACATTATCTGTGGTAAGGCAAACCAATAATTATTGTAGCCTAAGATCTACCACTGAACCATGCATATATGTTTTTGTAAATAGTAGATTTTAAATTTTTGTTACACAAATAGAATACAGCTAAAAACCTAGCTTGTTGAAGAATTACTTCCTTTGCTTTTCTTTAATTCCCTTTGTAAGTATGAGCGGATGGCATATGATGACTGAACCCTAAACAGGAAATCACTAATCTGGGACATTTTTTCTCATGACATTTCAGCATCTTGAAATGCAAACTCCACACTCTTATCTTAGAATTTAGGTTAAACATGAAATCTTTGTTAGAAAGCAGTAGATATTAGTAATTAAGTCTGCTTGACTAGATAACTTAAGGGGAAACAGGTATTTGAGTTCGGTGTTACCATTACGGAAGCTTAAAACTACTTTGAAAGATAGACATTCCCTTGGTCCCTCTCTTCTGGCTTCATCCTTAGTCTGTACTGACTCTCGGGGTAAAGTAGAACTTTTGGAGTACCACTGTTAAGTGTGAAGGTCCTTTTTACTCCCACAATTTTACTTGTAGTTGCTTGGTGTACATTCCCAAATAGATGGAAATAAAGGTAAGCAGGGGGTTGTTTCTTAAAATATTGCAAAGGTGATTGATTCTGAAGTTACCAAACATCGCAGTATATTTTACATAGTGGTAACTTAATATCTCTTTTGTGGATATATGAACAAAATTGTATCAGAACTAGGGACCTGTTGTTTATTCTGGCTGACTGACCAGAAACAAAGGAAGAGGTTTGCTTTGGGCTTTAAATGTCTTGTTCTTACAAGGATAAAATGATTTTTGTGGTATATAATTTAGATACAAGTGAGATATTACATCATGAAAATGAATTGTTATATGGAGTTGTTCAAACTGGAGAAAGATGAAATATGAGTTGTGTTCAAATGGATGCACATAATATGGTACATAAAGCAAAACGAGGGTCTGAAACCTTAGGTGTGAAAAGTCTGTTTAGAGAGAATAAGGCAGTGTATAAAGTATGAAGTATAACATGATATTTAACTTTGAAGTAAATAGAAAACTTGCCAATTGGGAAAATTATAAAATGAAATAAAATGTTGAGCAGTTGTACCTCTAAAGAAAAAACTAAATAAATTAGGCAGTTTAGCCCAGAGAAGGAGGGACCATGAGGAGAAATGAATTTGTCTTGGTATTTTAAAGGTTACTATACAGAAGAGAATGAAAAAGAAAAATATTTAAATTGTATCACATTCAGGTGAAGTGTGAGAATTCCTTGGAATATGAAACCAAGTCTCTCCCCCCCCCCCTTTGGAAATATGGGAGAAGTACTTATTAATGTGGCATATTTCTGTATAAAAAGAGGACCAGATTCATTTATCAGATACTCATTTGAGCACTTAATATGTGCCAGGAACTTGGGAGACATCAGTAAACAAAGACTACTCTCATAGACCGGTTGTTTAGAGTCACAGGTGCTGAAATGCAAGATTGCAAAAGGCAGAGGCAGTTGCTTGTAAGAATGTAACAACTTCATTTGGTAATAGTGATCAATAGAGAATACTTATAGTCTGGGGTCCTTTATGGAAGCCTTAAATATGTTTTTATTCCTGTGATGTTATTTCCTTCAGATGTTAGCTAGGGGCACTGTGTGTTAGGGAAAATTCATTGCTCATCTGGGGGAACAGAATACCATATGTGAAATTACTGTTTATTTTCTCTCTTATTTTATGCCATAGGTCTGATCGATGCCATGGTGATCCTGTTCAGGATCACTTGCTATTTAAGAAGACTCTCCTGCCAGTCTGGAAGATAATAGCCAGTCACAGGTAGGACTCCAAGCCACTCTGGACATTCACAGCCACTCTTCTCATTTAGGGTGACTTCCTAGAGTTTCTTCATTCTCTCTGGATTTGTCTTTTATCAGGTTCAGCAGCCCGTTTCTGAAGCCTGTGTCAGAAAGGCAGGCCCCAGGATACAAGGATGTGGTGAAAAGGTCAGTGGAAAAGGGGTCAAGAAAGGTTGGTTGCTTTTATATCTGTCTTTTCATACTTTATTTTGCATCTGTTAGATTATTTCCTTATTTCATTTACATTATTTAAGCTCAAGATATATTTTATAGCTGAATAAGTTATCATAAAGTTATGATAGGCTCAGTCCTTATTTGAGAATGTAAGGAACAACAAGATAAAGAGGCTTTTTTTCATTATTGACTTTTCAGTAATATGATCCATTTGTTATAATCTTACATTAGCCTTTGGTAGTTTTTGACACTTATTTTGGAGGAAAACTTTGAAAGGAAAGCTGTATTCCTTCAGGCAGTTATAAGTATGCAAAGAAAGATGGTAATTCAAATGGATTTTACAAACATTGGTTGATTGCAGTATTTTGGATTTTTATATCATAGTTCATCTAAAATGCTATCATAAACTAGTGTGTTAATGTATAAAAGATCATAAAAGAACCTTTGGAGGCAGACTCCTTAATTCTCTAGATGGGAAAACTAAGACTCAGAGGTGATCATGACTTGTCTGTGATCAAAAGTGAAATAGCAGAGCTAAAACTAAACTGGAGTCTTACCTACCTCCTAGTTCAGTCCTCTTTCTCCTCTGCTGTGCCTTCTCTTATACACCCACTCTCTATTATGTCCCACTATATAATATTTATCTTAATATTCATTTTATCTTCATGAAAAGAAGAAAAAACTCTGAGATTTTGATTATATAGTAAAAACTGTTGATTAAATACCTAGTGTATGACTACACATTGTAAACTGTCAATAACTCCCATGTGACAAATTGGAGCTCTTTACAACTTTGATACCACCAACTGTAAAATGTAATGGCTAGTCCTATGGGCTCTGGAGTCAGGCTGCTTCTGAATTAGAATCTAAGCTGTGTGACTTTGGGAAAGTACCTAATTTCTTTGATCTCAATTTTCTCATTGCCAGTTGTGATCATGGTACTTACCATATAGGTTTTTTGAGAGTATCAAGTGAGTTAATATAGAAAATACCTAGCATAGCACTTGACTTATTGTAAGCAGTCGTTATGTTAGCTGCTTTTGCTATTTTATTATCTAATGGGGATTGTTATCTTTACTACTGTTTTCATTAAGAGCTGGTTAGTTTTTCAAGAAAGCATGTTAGGTCACTGCATGTTCCACATGAAGGTTTGATTTCCTCTGATTTCTCTTGGCCACCTGTAGACCCATGGACTTAACTAGCCTGAAAAGGAATCTGTCCAAGGGACGGATTCGCACCATGGCTCAGTTCCAACGGGACCTGATGCTGATGTTCCAAAATGCTGTGATGTACAATGACTCTGATCATCATGTATACCATATGGCTGTGGAGATGCAGCGAGAAGTCTTGGAGCAGATTCAGGTACTGTAGGTAGACAGCTGCAAGGAAAAGGAGTGTAGTTTCTGGAATCTGATTTTAGAAAGTCTTGTGAGAATAGGGGTGATGTTGAAGTGACCTTGTGCTGCCAGAGTTTATGTTTAGAGGTGATTCAAGGACCTGAAGGGTTGACATTGTAATTGCTCCTCTGTGGAACCAGCTTTAATAGATGGTGAAGTAAAATTCTCTAGGAAGGCAGGCAGCAGTAAAGAGCTCTTAGAGACCTGGAGATAGATAAGTAGGTAATGGGTGCATCTACTTCCAGAGCCTCAAGTCAGAGGGCTAAACATGAATACCTGAGGCTGGAGTCACTGTCCATTTTTTGACGCTATGTTGGTATTAATATATGTCCACTTTGTCCCATCTATAGGAGATAAGATATGGTAGCCAGAAGAAGACATTTGAGGGTTTATTTTTTGGGCAGTGTCTTATTGATACTTTAAAAAAAAAAAACATGGTTGAATCTCTGCAGAGAAAGAAATAAAATTGCATTCAAACCTCCATAAAGATTCATAGCTGCTATCTGCCTTGACCCTGTAGGTGCTGAGTATTTGGTTAGACAAAAGAAGAGACTTAAATAGTCTGGAATGAAAACTAACCAACCCTATGGATGATGGAAAACCTGTTTTGCTAACTTGGAGCTGCTTCCCTGAACTTTTCTGGATTTTGGACCTTTAACTGAGACTCTGACTTACTGAAGATCCCAATACTTGTTTACCATTTCTCTGTTGTCTTTTCTAATAAGAATTACACCTTAACTTACAACCAAAGAGTTTAAGGTGCTTGTGGACATGATACAAAGAAAACACAGAAAACAGATTTGGGGTTATGCCATATATGTTGCCCACATCTTTGTTCAGTAAGGTTAATTTAGAGGTAAATAGATTAAACTTCTTTTACTGCTCTTTAAATAAATGTTATTTCACAAGTCGAAAATTACCTTTTAATGATTATAGAAGCTGGCAGTAGAGGGGATAACATTGTCTGGTGAAATATGGAAGGTATCTGACACGGATTTTCTTACATACACTGGAAGGTGCTGGGGGTAGGATGAGGAAGAGCATCTATGATTTATCTCATCATTTGTGAAGTGGAGATAATACAAGTGTCCTTCGAATGACTAGGAGGATGAAATAAAATAAATTATGAGGAAAACGTTAGAAAACTTTCGTTGCTTTTAAGATTTGCAAGGGGATAAAAATCCCTGTGGCGGGTTCCCTTTCTTGGCTAAAAGGAGCTAGCCGAAGACTGCGAAGTGCTCTGCTGGAATTGGCCCTCTGCAGCCACCGTCTCTAAGCGGGTTTCTGGTCTCCTAGCAACAGTCTGTGACACTAAAGAAGCCCAGGCTAAGGTGAGTGCCCAAATGAGGGCCGGACTCTGAAGGAATTTGGGAGTGCAGGGGACCCAGGAATTCTGCTTTCCATCTGGGCCTTACCCTAAGCGTCCTGGTGGCAGGAGGGGATGGGAAGAGGGGGTGTGTGTGTGCACTGTGGAGGGTGGTGCTGAGTGGCCTGGAGAGTTGCAGACCTAGTCTCCTCCTGGGCCCCCGGGGTCCTCGGCTTTGCCTTGCCCCTTGGGCTCTCCTAACTTAATGAAAGCACCTAGGAAAACCCATGGCAGGAGATAAGGTAAAAATCGTATTACTGAGACACCGTTTGTGGAAAAAACTATGACAGTTTCCAGCTTTATAAATTAATAAAAATCAAGCATCTGATAATGCTGTTTAGTCACAATTACATTGAGTTGGGGGTGGGGGTGCATGTCATTACAGTTGATACACGTGAAGAATCTTTTTTTTTTTTCATTTATTTTTACTAGTTGGAGGCTAATTACTTTACAGTATTGTAGTGGGTTTTGTCATACATTGACATGAATTAGCCATGGATTTACATGTATTCCCCATCCCGATCCCCCCTCCCACCTCCCTCTCTACCCGATCACGTGAAGAATCTTAAATTGTAGCTGAAAAGCCAGAATGGAGCTATCAATGCCCCCACCTCAGATCTACGTAGAAAAGACTCTGGCTATTATCAAACCAGATATTGTTGACAAAGAGGAGGAGATACAAGATATTATTCTCAGATCTGGATTCACCATTGTTCAGGTAACTTCTGGGCAGTATGATCATGTTTTTTCCCTCTCTACTGAATTAGATTTTTCTGCCTTAGCTTTTAGCTAAAACCGAATTAAAAACTCACTTTATCTTAAGTAAAAGATATGTTTGAAAGCTCTTCTTACTCATAGAGTTATATCCCTAAACTTGTTTTAGAATACCTTTGATTTTACCTTTTAAAAATGTTTATGTATATGTGTTAGCCCAGTTCGATCCTTAGTATTTAGCATGAAATTTAGATTTACTCTTCTGAGTATAAAAGTTATATGTGATAATTTTCCAAAAAGTATTTTCACACTTTAAAAATATATAAAATGAGAAGTAAAACTTCTTTTTCCCATCTCTCCTCTCCCAACTCAAGTCTCACGCTGCAGAGACAACCACTTAATACTTTCTTTTCTTCCAGAATTTTTGTATGCATTTACAAATATGTTTCCCCAAATATGTCCTACTGTAAAGTAGGACAGTTGCCCTCCCTGGACCCTCTTTACCCTCCCTCAGATAGCATGCCAGCTCATTACATCTGAATCTAACTTCTGTATAAATATTCTACTGTCCTAATAAACCAGTCTATTTACTTGATCTTCTCTTGATGAATTTTTAGACTGTTGAGTTTTTTTTTAAGTTAATGTTTTAAGCCTTTTCCTTGTTCTGCAGTTAACAGTTTGAAAATGAATATATAAAGACTATCAAATAGAATGGAGTATTTTTCATCTTCCTTTTTTGTACCATTCTTATCTGAAATTTCACTTTTTTATTATATTTATTCAGTTTCATATTGCTTGTTGAGTCTTTTAAAAAATAAAAAAGATAACTTCAGTCTTCAGAAAGATGGGTTTTTGAATGAACTTAGAAGGATACATGGAGGCTGAGGATGAGATGCTACAAGAAAGTTTAAGGGAGTAGTAATGCAGGAAAAGTATAAAGAAATATTTAATATAATTAAAAGATTCAGGTAAAGATGAGCTTTTAAATAAATGTTGTTAGGAAACTGGGTAGCCACTTAAAAAAAAAAACTTGGATTCAAATATTACACTATATATACCAGGATAAATTCCAAATGGATTTGACATTTAAATATTAAAAAATTAAACCGTATAAACTCTAGAAGAAAAATGACTGAATTTCTTTTTATTTTTGGAAGGGGACAGCCTGTTTATTGGGTACTGTAAAATAAAAGATTGATAAAAATATAAACAAAAAACTTGAGCGTGGCCAAATAAGCATAATAAGCAAAGTCAAAACACAGGTGACAAACTTGGAAAAAATATTTGTAACTCATAAAGACTAATCTCCCAAATGTATAAAAAGCTCCTCAAACGGATAAAAATTCAGTTGAAAATGGGAGGTACATGTGGATGGTCACAGAAAAATAAAAATGCTTCTAAAACATGGTAAAAGATGCTCAATTTCTAAGCAGGAAAAAAGCAAATTAAACAACAGTGAACTACCATCTGGCAAGACTACAAAAGTAAATGACATAAGGGAGGGAATCTGGCAATTATGGAAGGAAATCTGGCAGTTATCTATCAGTATTTACAGATGCATCTTCCCTTTGACCCAGCAGTACTACTTCTGGGAATCTCTCCTGTAACTTGTGTATTAATATGCAATGACATATATCTAGGTAATTTTTTGTAGCATTGTTTATTTACAAGCAAAAAATTGAAAACAACCCCACATTAGGAAATTGGTTAAATTCACCCTGATGAATCCGCCAAATTGAATACTATGAAACTAATTATAAAAAGAGCAATGAAGAACCTCTCAGTGTCCTGTTAGGGAAAAAAGCAAGATGCAGAACTATGTGTAGCTTTTTTTCTATGATAGAAAGAGAAAAAGTAATATATATTCATGTTTGCCAGTATTTACAAAATGAATTTAGAAGATAAATAAGCATTAAAAAATGGTTGCATATAGAGGGAAAGGAAGAACAGGCTGAATTAGGACAGGAATGGGAATGAAATTTTTCAGTATGAACCTTTTTATATTGCTTTGAATTTTTTAATCCCCAAAGTATGTTACTCATTAATTTTTTTATTTTATTTTATTTTTTTATTTTATTTTTTTTACTCATTAATTTTAGAAGAAAGACAAAACATAAATAAGATAAAGTTTCCAATTTGATTTTTTAAAGTTTGAAAAGAATTAGTGAAAAGGTAATTAAACAGTGATAGTTAGAAATTAAAACTTCTTATAAAAAAAAACAAAACTTAGTGTAAATGTTAATATTTAACACTTTCTCTAGTCAGCAATAAATTTTAAACCAAAGAACATCTTGGTATGTAGTATGCTTCTTTTTGGTTTAATTGTGATAAAATATATACAACATAAAATTTACCTTAACTGTTTCAGTTCAAGGGCATTAGAGTACCTTCACATCATTGTGCAACTGTCACCACTGACCATCTCTAGAACTTTTTCATCATCTCAAACTGACACTCTGTACCCATTAAACACTAGCTCTCTGCTTAGCCCTCTCCCCAGTCCTTGGTAACACTGTTCTACTTTCTGTCTCTATGACTTTGCTGTTCCAGGTATCTCTTGTCAGTGGAATCATTTTTGTCCTATGTATTATATGCTTTAAAATAGGCTTTATTGTATTTGAGAGTTCATTGAACTTGAGACTTTCTTTTCCCATCTAGGAAAAAACCTTCTAAAAAATGATGTGTTCATTTAGTAGGTGGCAGTCTTTCCTGTGTTACAACAAACTATTGGTTCCTTTTTTTTTTTTTAAATACTTATTTATTTGGCTCTGCTGGGTCTTAGTTGTAGCACTCAGGATCTTTAGTTGCTGCATGCAGGACTTTTTTTTTTGTTTTTTGGTTTCTTTTGGTGGGGGCCACAGCGAACTCTTTTGTGGCATGTGGGATCTAGTTCCTTGACCAGGGATTGAACCAGGGCCCCCTGAATTGGGAGCACAGAGTCATACCTACTGGACCAACCTCCTTTTCTGATATTAAGTTCACTTCTCTTTGTGAAAATACTTTGTTTTGTTTTTTGTTTATTTACTTATCTTTTGGCCATGGCTTGCAGGATCTTAGTTCCCTGACCAGGGATTGAATCCATGCCCTCTACAGTGAAAGCACAGCATCCTAACTACTGGACTGCCGGAGAATTATCTTGTTGTGAAAATACTAATCTAAATTACAAAAAAGTTTATCTGATCTAATTTTGAAGCAATTGATGGAACCATTGATTCAGTATCAACTTTACTTTAGAATGAGCCCTCAGTTTTTAAAATTATGCTACATTAGCTGGCATACCTGCAAAAGATAGCTTCCCTTGCTTGTTAAGGGATATGTGGAAGTTAAGTGCTTACAGTGCGACAAATGAGATTTTTAACCCAGCAACAACAAAATTACTCAAACCAATAGGCATAGGAATCACAAATACAGGCATGTCTTAATTTTAAAATAATAGAATCAGCGATTATACCAAATCAAGTGCTGTTATCACTTCTCAGATTTCTTCTATTTCTTGACTATATGAATTTTAATATGAAAACATGTCAGCACCTTTTTTTAAAAAAAATAGTACTAGAGCTTCCCAGGTGGTGCCAGTGGTAAAGAACATGCCTGCAGGAGACGTAAGAGACTCGGGTTTGATCCCTGGTCAGGACGATCCCTGGAGAAGGAAGTTGCAACCCACTCTAGTATTCTTGCCTGGAGAATCCCATGGACAGTGGAGCCTGGAGGACTACAGCCCATAGGGTTGCAAAGAGTTGACACGACTAAAGTGACTTAGCAGGCTTCCATAACTGATCCCTGACTGTGAGAATGTTAGTTTTTGTCCAGTAGAGCCTGTTCATAGCAGTGCTGAACTACCTAGTAAGCATCTTTCCAGGCTTCTTGAACTAGGGCAGTTTAGCTCCCTCTCCACAAACCAAGCAATTTTATCAAGTTTCTGAAACCTGAAGACACAGGATAGTTTTGTGGGGTTTTTTTTTGAAATACAAATTCTTTTATTCCAGGTGTTTAAAGAACAATAAATGTGAATCTTAAATAGCTGAATGATGGTAGATTTGTCATTTCTGCCTGTGATTAGACTTGGTTTCTCTAAACAGCAATTTAGAACAGCAGTTGAGTAAGCAGGAAGTGACTTGTGAATGGAGTTAAAATAGAAAAATTGGAAGAATGACTGACTTGGCTTCTGTGATTTTTTAAAATTTAATAATTCATATAGCTTCTCATTTGTGAAGAAAATTAATATTTATTTGTCTCAAACATTTCATTTTGTTTCATATTAACAAACTTAATGCTAACTACTTATCTTAAGCTCTTACTGAGTCAACGTATTTATGGCAGAACCAGAATAAGGAAACAAGTGAAAAACTTGTTTACTGCATCATGTTGCATACTACTTCAAAGTACCATAATGAGACCAGTTCTCTTAAATAATGTAGGAAAATTTCACAAATAGATAGGGAAAGATGAATTTGGAATATTCTAAAGTATTTTTTACTTTATGTGAAGTATGTATTAACAAGATATTGAAGATTGGCATGTTTTTACTTTAAGGAGATAAGATTATTTTGTCATTAATGTTGTTGTTGTATTTTAGTCACTAAGTCGTGTCTAACTTTTTTGTGACCCCCAAGGCCTATAATCCACCAGGCTCCTCCATCCATGCATTTTCCCATACAAGAATACAGGAGTGGATTGCCATTTCCTTCTCCAGGGGATCTTCCTGACCCAGGGATCGAACCTGTTTCTTCTGCATTGGCAAGTGGATTCTTTATTGCTGAGCCATCATTAATGTACCATAGGTTGAAGGAGGCTGCCAAACAAGAGTAGTTTTTCTTAAGTAATAATTCTTATTTACAGCCTACATTTTTAAAAAATTTATTTAATTGGAGGCTAATTACTTTACAATATTGTAGTGGTTTTTGCCATACACTGGCATAAATCAGCCATGGGTGTACATGTGTTCCCCATCCTGAACCCTCCTCCCACCTCCCTTCCCATCCCATCTCTCAGGGTCATCCCAGTGTACCAGCCCTGAGTGCTGTGTCTCATGCATCAAACCTGGACTGGCGATCTGTTTCACGTATGGTAATATACATGTTTCAATGCTATTCTCTCAGATCATCCCACCCATGCCTTCTCCCACATAGTCCAAAACTGTGTTCTTTACACCTGTGTCTCTTTTGCTGTCTCATATATAGGGACATCGTTATCATCTTTCTAAATTCCGTATGTATGCGTTAATATACTGTATTGGTGGTTTTCTTTTTGACTTACTTCGCTGTGTATAATAGGCTCCAGTTTCATCCACCTCATTAGAACTGATTCATATATATTCTTTTTAATAGCTAAATAATATTCCATTGTGTATATGTACCACAGCTTTCTTATCCATTTGTCTGCTGATGGGCATCTAGGTTGCTTCCATGTCCTGGCTATTGTAAACCGTGCTGCGATGAACATTGGGGTACACGTGTGTCTTTCAATTCTGGTTTTCTCGGTGTGTATGCCCAGCAGTGGGATTGCTGGGTTGTATGGTAGTTCTATTTTCAGTTTTTTAAGGAATCTCCACACTGTTCTCCATAGTGGCTGTACTAGTTTGTATTCCCACCAACAGTGTAAGAGGGTTCCCTTTTCTCTGCACCCTCTCCAGCATTTATTGTCTGTAGACTTTTTGATAGCAGCTATTCTGACTGTACAGCCTACATTTAACATTTTTATCTTGCCCACTGTTCATAATACAAAAATAAATCTCAAATTTGTGGTCAGATTGGTACTATTTCAAGTTATTAGTGACTTGTAAAAGTCGCTCAGTTGTGTCCAACTCTTTGCTATCACATGGACTATACATCCAGTCCATGGAATTCTCTAGGCCAGAATACTGGAGTGGGTAGCCTTTCCCTTCTCCAGGGGGTCTTCCCAACCCAGGGATTGAACCCAGGTCTCCTGCATTGCAAATGGATTCTTTACCAGCTGATCCATAGGGAAGCCCATTAAGGACTTAATGAGGTATTACTGAACTGTCAATAATGCTTTTGTTGACTTTGTTTCTCTTTTAGAGAAGAAAACTGCATCTCAGCCCTGAGCACTGTAGTAACTTTTATGTGGAACAATACGGGAAAATGTTTTTCCCCAATTTAACAGCTTACATGAGTTCTGGACCACTTGTTGTCATGATATTAGCTAGATATAACGCCATCTCTTACTGGAAAGAACTCTTGGGACCAAGTAATAGCTTAGTAGCTAAGGAGACACACCCAGACAGGTAACTTTCCTAGGGGAGAAATGGAATCCAACTATGAAAAAAATCTGATTTCATTGTAATAGGAATTTCCTTTAATTTGGAAGTTTTCCTGAATAACCTGATTTTTTTTTTTTTTTTGTGGTGGTGATGTAGGGTTGGGTGGGGAAGGTCCATTCTGTGTTTTAACTACTTAAATGTTTACTTTAATATCAAATACCACAAAAGGTCTCAGAGAATGTTTGATTTATGGTTGACTAGCTTATTTTTCTCTCATTCTTGAATTAAACTGCCACTGGTTTAGGAATTTTCATGGGAAAATTGGGATGGTATTTTGTAGAATGTTGGTAATAGAGATTAGAAACTCAGATTTTCAGCATTATCTTTAATGTTTAGAAACCAGAGGACATTGAGTTCTTGACACTTTTGAAAATACCATTGTTTTTTCAGTTGTCATAAGATAGTACCTCTTTTTCACCCAGATAACTATTTTTCCAGTATATCTCTCCTGCAGATTTAATTATAGTTGGCCCTCATGTAGATAGATTTATGCTTAAAATCAAAATAGATTAAAACCTCCATATGTGAGAAGTGGAGATGCTTCTGTAAAATTTCTAAGTAGAATACATATGTAAAAAGTAAGGAAAGAATGTCAGATTGGGTGGTCATCATTTCTAACTTGCTTTCAGTCTGAGGGCGATTTATGGCACAGATGAGCTAAGAAATGCACTTCATGGAAGTAATGATTTTGCTGCAGCAGAAAGAGAAATTCGATTCATGTTTCCTGCAGGTGAGTTACAAATGAGTAATTAGTTAATTGCATTTACTTGTTTGCTTTGTCTCTTAATTTTGGAGATGTAGCTGGGAAGGAAGATAACAGGGTTTATCTCCAGTATATTCTGTCATATTTTCAAGTTGTAGTTAACAATTTGAAGCCAAGAATAGAAAACTTAATGTTTTTCTCAGAATGAAATTGTGACCTCTAGGGAATCTTTTGAGAAGAGTTTACCTTTCTTTCCTTTATTTTGGACTGGGCATATCAAGGGTTTTTCTCCTTCTGTGTTATTTACTCCTTTTAGTTATCCCTAAATGCATTAGTTGAATTTGTTACAAATGAAAAGAGATTCTTCTTTGGCACTTTTGATGGATTTGCCATATTCTCTAATAACAGTTTAATGTTTAACAAATACTCATGCTTTTATGAAATTCGTAGTTCTCCATTCCCTTTTTTTGTTTCTATCCTGTGAAGTTATAAACCTTTTAGAAGTGGGTATAATGAGGAACAACACTGATGTTCTTATTTTCAATAATATTTTTAGAGCAGAAAAGAAATTTGCTGATTTTCATTATATAGAAACAAAGTCAAAGCATTGGGCAGTTTTGAAAATTTCTTTGGCCTTTTTTTTCCTCTCAGTAATTTAGACCTTATTCCTCAGTATTTTTCTGCTAAAGATTTATTCAAAGAAAACTGAAAATTTTCTTGGAGATTTAAAAGTTTGGATTTTTGAACAAACAAAAACTTTTAAATTAAAGATATCTATACATGAAAGGATTTGCTTACTATATGCTTAATTCTTACTGTGACAGAAATTTCTGTCGTATCTATCCCCTTAAGGTATCTTTTTCTTTGGAGCTGTTTTTATTTTGGAATATTTACACAAAAGGAGATAGCATAGCAGCCATGAAATTAAAAGATGCTTGCTCTTTGGGAGAAAAGCTATGACCAACCTAGACAGCATATTAAAAAGCAGGGACATTACTTTACCACAAAGGTCCGTCTAGTCAAAGCTGTGGATTTTCCAGTAGTTGTGTATGAATGTGAGAGTTGGACCATAAAGAAGGTTGAGTGCTGACGAACTGATGCTTTTGAACTGTGGTGTTGGAGAAGACTCTTGAGAGTTCCTTGGACTGCAAGAAGATCAAACTAGTCCATCCTAAAGGAGATCAGTCCTGAATATTCATTGAAAGGACTGAAGCTGAAGCTCCAATACTTTGGCCATCTGTTGGGAAGAGCTGACTCATTAGAAAAGACCCTGATGCTGGGAAAGCAGGAGGAGAAGGGGATGACAGAGGACGAGATGGTTGGATGGCATCACTAACTCAATGGACATGAGTTTGAGCAAACTTGGGGAGATGGTGAAGGACAGGGAAGCGTGGCGTGCTGCAGTCCATGGGGTCGCAATGAGTCAGACATGAAGAGAGTGAACAACAACAACGAAGATCACACAGTATAGTAAACCACTAATGAACCCATCATTCAATTTCAATGATTTTGGTCTGTCTGCTTTTCTTAAAAAAAATTGAAGTATAGTTGATTTAGACCAGTCTTGTTTCATCTGTCACTCCTGCTTGTATTTCTCCTGCTTCTGTATTACTTTGGGGCACATCTTGAACATGAGATGTCTTTTTCATATGGTAGATGTTTAGATTTTGTCCTACTAGTGAATTAGACTTTTTCTCCTTAGCTTTTAACTAACATAGAGTTAAAAACTCATTTATCTTAAGTGGAACAAATTTTTTAGAAGCCCGTCTTACTCATAGGGTTATATCCTTAGACTGTTAGTTTGTATTGCCTTTGATATTATTAATTAATTAATCCTCTGTATACAGTTAGACATTTGAGTTGTAGGACAGATATAAATGATTACCTGCTATACTGCAGATTTCTTGCTATGAGAATGTGAAGTCTTTGAGAGAAAGTTTTTGGAGTTTGTGATATGAGCTTCTTCTTGCTTAGCAATGAGGAACTATGTACAGAACCCTATACAATAAGTCACTAAAGCAAATTACAAAGATATTCTTAAGACATTCCTAAATTCTTGAAAAAGCTAATGCTCTTCCTTTTTAATAGGGATTGCTGATTCAAAGCTTTACTACATTCCATTCATTCAGCAAGTTTATGAGTTACTGAGTTGTGCCAGAAATACCAAAATGAATAAGATATCCCTGTTCTCTCAGGATGATTTTATTTTAAAAGGCCAGAAAAATAAATGTACAATGCAATGTATAACTTCTGCCATGAAAAAGCCTTTAAAAATACAGTGAAAATTTGTTTATGTGAGAAACATGAAAATACATTTTTAGTTTCTCATTAATTCATCCAACTCTGTTGTCAAAAATCAGTTGGCAATGTAAGTATCTACTTTAGAGTCTCAGTTCTGCTTCATTGATCTTTATTGTCTGTTCTTATGTCAGTACCATACAGTCTTAATATTGTGGTTTCATAATAGCATTTTTTTCTTTTTTATATATCTATATTTGTTCCAACTCTTAAGTGTGTGGCTAGAACACTACATTTTCACTCACAAAACTTGTTCTGAGTTATTTTTCAAATGGCTTTGCAACATGCCTAGGTAGGCTTATAATTTTGCTATTCTAAATATTATTTTCCTTTATAAAATAATTTCTATATATGGATAGTGACTCCCATCAAGTTGGTTCAGTTTAACATACTAATTTCTAGGGTCCTGGCACATGCAGTATTATGACTGTAGGGGTTGGAAGGTTTAAAAAGTAGATCCCAGAAAATGAAAGTTGCTTTAATGAGTACTTTTCTTTTAAACATCAGGGTATATACTTCAGAATACTTTAGTGACGAGATTTGGTCCACTAAAGAATCTGCTTGATAGCTAAACACTTCAGACTGAGAAGTTTACATAGGTTACATACACCTTATAACAAACACTACTTCTGTCTGTTAAAATAAGCCAACCTGAAACTAGGAAAAAAAGCTAGCTCTACTTCAGTGCCTAAAGTATCACACTTAATAGAAATCTTAACTTTCCCCTAAAGCAGTTGTCATGCCATACATATTTTTAAATGCTAATAAAAAAATAAATACTTGAAAACATGTTATCAGAAGAAATGGAGACAGAGTGTTGAACATGTAATCACGTAATCCTCAGGCAGAGCTTAGTCTACTTCTTCCATATGAATATGGTCATCATCTCCTTCCAAGGGCAACATCTCCTCAGTTATGGCAGCATTGCTGTTGTCAGTAGTGGGGTCATTCTCATGGATACCAAGACCAAATTTGATCATCCTGTAGACCCTGTTAGCTTGGGTCTGGGGATCCTCCAGACCAAAGTCAAGCTAGGAGAGCCACTTCATACAGTAGGATGACCTGGTTGTTCAAAGACTTATCATTATTATCAGCCTTTTGCTTCAGGGTCTTGATGATGAAACGGTCTGGGGTTTACCTCCAGGTGCTTCTTTGCTGCCATGTAACCCATTGTTGAGTTGTCTAAGGGCTTGAGCCTTCATGATTCTTTCCATGTTTGCTATGCAGCTGTACGTGCTCGTGACAATGCAGCACAGGGATGTCACCAGTAGGTTTGATACAACCATCTTTTTTGCAGAGGGTTTGAAACGTTTTCTTTTCCTGTTTCTTGTTTATTTTTGGCTGTGCTGAGTCTTTGTCATTGTGTAGGCTTTTCTTTACTTGATGCAAGCGGGGCTGCTCTCTAGTTGCAGTGCATGGGCTTCTTACTGTAGTGGCTTCTCTTGTTGCAGAGTATGGGCTCTGCGGTGCACGGGCTTCAGTAGTTTCTGCGTATGAACTCAGTAGTTGGAGTTCCCAGGCTCCAGAGCACAGGCTCAGTATGGCACACGGGCTTAGTTGCTCTACAGCATGTGGGATCCTCCTGGACCAGGGATCAAACCCTTGTCTCCTGCATTGGCAGATGAATTCTTTACCACTGAGCCACTAGGGAGGCCCTCTTCCTATTTCTTTTTCTCCTCGTCTTCTGGAAGTTCTGGGCCCTCTTCAATGACTGACACTAAGGTCTCGCCCTCAAACTTCTTTAGCTGTTGCACACAGTACTCGTCAAGTAGCAGTTTCTGAATCTGGGCCACACTATTACTGCCTGGGTGCCTGACCCCTTCAATCATTAAGTAGGCAAGTAACCAAGGACAGGACTTCTTTTGTACCAGAGCTCCAGTTCATCAGTTCATCTCAGAGAAACATCAGTTCATCTCAGAGGTACCAAGCATAGATAGAGTCAATGTTCCCAGAAGGAATTCTGATACTATCTGAAAATCCAAGTCTCCCAAGCCTCGGGGTACTAGCCAGGCTTGGCCTCCCTTCCCCAGCAGCCAAGTGTCAGTTCTTCCTCATTAAAGGTTTTGAAATCAGGTTAGTGGTTAATAAATAGCCAGAGACAAATAATAAATGATTTTCAAAAATAGAGAAACAATCCAAAAATGAAATAAGCAATTTTATTCACAGTAGCATCAAAAACAATAAGATATTTAAGAATAAATTTAACAAAAGAAGTGCAATTCTTGTGCACTGAAGAGTACAAAACAAAATGCTGCTATGAAAGAATATCTAAATAAATAGACATCCCCTTTTAGGGGCTTCCCTGCTGGCTCAGGTGGTAAAGAATCTTCCTGCGATGTGGGAGACCTTGTTCGATCCCTGGGTCAGGAAGGTCTCTTGGAAAAGGAAATGGCAATCCACTCCAGTTTTCTTGCCTGGAGAATACCATGAACACAGGAGCCTGGCGGGCTACAATCCGTGTGTTTGCAAAGAGTGGGTCGTGACCGAGCAACTAACACTTTCCTGGATCAGAAGAGTCAATATTGTCAAGATGACAGTTCACTCCAAATTGATAGATAAATTTAATGCAGTCCCTATCAAAGTCTGTGCATGCTTTTATGTAGAAATTAACAAGTCAATTGCAAAATGTATATGGAATTGCAAAGGATCTAGAAGAGCTCAGGCAATTTTGAAAGCGAAGAACAAAGTTGGAAGACTTCCACTAACCTGATTTCAACCTATTATGAAACCAGAGTAATTAAGGCTATATGGTCCTGATGTAAGGATAGACATAAAGATCAATGAAGCAGAATTGAGAATCTATAAGTAGATTCTTACTTTTATGGCCAATTGATTTTCCATGAAAGTGCCTAGACAGTTTGATGGGGAGAGGGTGATCTCTTCAACAAATGGTGCAGAGACAACTAGATATCCACATGCAAAAACAAAAACCAGCATAGACCTTTGCTTCACACCACACACAAATAGACCTAAACACTAAAGCTAAAAACAAGCTTTGGTTTTTAGGAAGAGCACAAGCTTTTTCAAGGATTAGGAATATGTCCTAGAATATCTTTATAACTTGCTTTAGTGACTCATCATATAGGGTTTTGTATATCATTCCTGACTGACTGCTAAGCAAAAGGGAGCTCATATCACAAACTCTTCTAACTGGAAGAAAATATAGAAAATCTTTATTACCTTGAGTTGGACAAAGAGTTCTTATATATGACATCACAAATATGATCAGTAAAATAAAATATTGATACATTGGATTGCATCAAAATTCAAAGCTTTTCTTCTTTAAAAGTTGTCATTAAACATGTGAAAAGATAAATCATAGATTGGGAGGAAATACTTGCAAATCATATATCAGATAAAGCACTTGTATCTAGAATATATTAATATAAAGAATTTTTACAACTCAATACAAACTGAACTAGAAACTGCAAAAGATTTGAATAGGTGTTTTGCAAAAGAGGATAACAGTCTAATAAAGTACATGAAAAAGTTCTCAGCATAATCACTGAGAAAATGCAAATCGAAAGCACCATGAGATACCTTTGCTTACCCACTAGAATAGCTATAATCAATGGCAAGGCTATAGAGATACTGGGACCCTTTTTGTTTCTGGTTGAAATATGTTTTTGTTGTATTGCAAGTCTGGGTCACCTATAGTGTTCAAACAAAGCTGAAAAGACTAAAATTTCCTTAAATCTTAGATAATTTATTTTAACAACTGAAAAATAAGCAGCAATATTAATATATACTATCATAGAAATAGGATTTATGTGTATATTCAATAGTTTATAAGAGAGCAAGAAGCATGTATTATTCACTCTTGTATCTGTGCCACTGTGCACACTGCCCCCATTTTAGGGTTGACAGGAGTTAATTTTTGTGATGAATTAACCTAGATTATATGTATTCTTTCAGCTTTTCATAACATTGTCCATTATGTATTTACTGTTAGAAAATGGAAATGTAAATGCAAAAAAGGAGATTGTTGAAAACATAATCAGAATCTTATGTGTGAGCACTATCAATATATTGATGTATTTTTTGCTATTTGTATGAGTCTTATTTTTGTGTATGTGTGATTGTGTGTTTTTGAACAAACTATTTGCTATGTATTTCTGTTTACTTTTTTTAAAAAAGAAAAACTAAGTATTTCTCATGTCATTAAAATTTCTTTGAATATGTCCTTTTTAATGACTGTATAATATTTCATCATTTATATTAGCTTTAATGGGAATACATTTGTATTTGCAGTGATTGTTGAGCCCATTCCAGTTGGACAAGCTGCTAAGGACTATTTAAATTTGTATGTAACGCCAACTTTGCTTAAAGGACTCACAGAACTTTGTAAGCAAAAACCAGCAGATCCTTTTGTAAGAAATCTTTTTATTCATACTAAAGAATACTGTGTATAGCTTTCATAATTTAAATATTCTTTGAAACATATAGTCATTTAAAAAAGCTATTTTATATACATTTTAGATAATTGCTTTTGTATGACATTTGATTACAGTTGACCCTTGAGTAAGAGTAGAACTTAGGGGCACTGACCCTTTGCACAGTCAACAATCTGGCATACTAAGAGCTCCCATGTGCAACAACTAAGACCCAGTGCAGCCAGAATAAATAAATACTTAAAAAAAAATCTGGCATATAATTTATAGTAGGCCCTCGTATCCTCAGTTCCTCTGTATCTATGATTTCTGCACCCTGGGTTCAGCCAGTTGTGGATTGTGTAGTACTGTCATATTTACTATTGGAAAAAATCTCTACGTAAGTGGATCCCCACAGTTCAAATCTCTTGCTCCAGGGTCAACTGTGCTTATTTTCTTGCTGTGTTTTGACTCTTAAAAAACATTCTAAGTAAGTTTTCAATCATTGCACCCTTTAATTGCTCAGCCTTGTTTTTGTGTATAATTTATATAATAAATGATAAAATTAGATATATACTTGAATTTTGTTCAACATTTTTATTTCTCGTGATATCTAAATTTTCTGAATAGAATATTTGTATTTATTCACATACTCAATGCCTCAACATTGCTCATTCAGGTGGAAGAACTGTTGAGTATGAGGACGTAGGATGATCATCCAGGGCCAACTGTCAGCCTGGATCTTTCCTTATAGATACTCCCACCCATCTGAAGAGTCTTAAAGATAATCAAGGAAGGTTATTTTAATATCAGCCCTACCAAAATAATATGTCTGGCCTTTGTTAGAATTCTCAAAAGGAATGCTTTTTGGAAGACAAAAGATTTAATCTTTCCCACATGTTAACATTACCACTTTTACCAAAAAGAAAAACATAGACACGTTATTTCTCTAATAATTCTTTTTCGTTGTGAAAATAGTACTTTTTTTATTTAGTAAGAAACCTGAAAGCACTGAAAAACGTAAAGAAGAGAAGAAAAAGATAACTCATGGTTCCATTTCCTAAACATGGTCTTGAAGTCATCTTGCCTGGACTCAGCTCTGATTCCAGACACCTAATCTCCCCTGAGTCTCTTTATTCGCATTAGTAAGATATAGATGAAAGAGAAAAGTGAAAGAGCTGGCTTAAAACTCAACATTCAAAAAATGAAATCATGGCATCTGGTCCTATCACTTCACGCAAATAGATGGGAAAAAATGGAAACAGTGACTGATTTTATTTTTTGGGGCTCCAAAATCACTGTAGATCATAACTGCAATCTTGCAATTGAAAGATGCTCTTGGAAGAAGAGCTATGACAGACCTTTTTTTGTTCAGTCACTCAGTTGTGAATGTTTGCAGTCCAATGAACTGCAGCACGCCGGGCTTCCCTGTCCTTCACCATCTCCCAGAGCTTGCTCAAACTCATGTCAGTGATGCCATCCAACCATCTCATCTTCTCTCCCCTTCTCCTCCTGCCTTCAATCTTCCCCAGCTTCAGGGTCTTTTGAAATGAGTCAGTTCTTTGCATCAGGTGGCCAAAGTATTGGGAGTTTCAGCTTCAGCATCAGCCTTTCCAATGAATATTCAGGACTGAATTTGTTATAATGTTGCTTCTTAAAGGGAAAGCTTTTTTAAAAATAATTTAATTTATTTCTTTTTGGCTGTACTGATTTTTCGTTGATGCACATGGGCTTTCTTTAGTTGTGGTGGCCAGGGGCTACTCTCTAGTTACAGTGCATGGGCTTCTCATTGCAGTGGCTTCTCTTGTTGCAGAGCACAGGCTCTAGGGTGCGTGACCTGCAGTAGTTGTGGTTCCCAGACTCTAGAGCACAGGCTCAGTAGTTGTGACACAGTTCTTCCTGGACCAGGGATCAAACTCATGTCTCCTGCATTGGCAAGCATATTCTTTACCACTGAGCCACGAAGGAAGCCCACTTCTGTTTTTTATGTTTTTTTTGATCCATGTGTCATATGGGATCTTAGCTCCCCGACCAGGGATTGAACCACATCCCTTGCACTAAAAGGCAAAATCTTAACCAGTGGACTGCCAGGAAAGTCCCCTTCTAATACACTGTAATATTATATTTCCTCCCACTCTGCCATGGATATGTCTTTGATCATCTGGAATTTTTGTTGTTATAGGAAGTGAGGTAGATGCCACATTTTATTTAATTTTCCATTTGGTTACTCAGTTGACCAAAACCATTTATTGATGGTTTGTTTTTATTGTAGATTTTTTTTCTTGTAGATTTAAGATGGTTTGTTGTTTTTATTGTAGTTTTTTTCTTGTAGATTTAAGAATCTGCTATTAATGTATACTAAGTTCTTGCATGCATTTTGTGGGTTTATTTCTATTTTGGGGAGTTGGTTTATTTCATTTATCTATGTCTGTTCATTTGTAAGTACCATACTGCTTTAAGTATTATAGGTTTATAATATATTTTAAAATCAGATTGTTATAAACCTTTCAATTACTCTTCCTTTTCAGAATTTTCTTGATTTTTTTTTGCATTGTTATTTCTAATATGAATATTTTCAGTCAGAATACATACTGTCATATTGCTTCCTTAAAGGGCAATTCCAAGGTACACTGTGATCACCAATGTATATTTTTCATTTCACTTCATCCATGTAAGTCTTATATGTAAGTTAAAAACACTGGGGTGGGGATGGGACTGACTTGATAAGAAAAAAAATAAATGAAAGATGATAATTCAACTGCTTTAACTTTGTGTATATATATATATATATATATGTATGTATACTGGTAAAATTAAACATTTTCCCCTATGTTTAATTGTATTTCCTCCTTTGTGAATTATCTTTTTTTCTTTAGATCCACTTATCTGTTGGAGTTTTATAAGAATTCCTTTTTCCATTACTGAATTATAACTAATCTACAATACTGTGTTAGTTCCAGGTGCATGACATAGTAATTTGATACTTCTTAATATTGCAAAATGATCAATATGATAAATCTAGTTGCCACCTTTCACCATACAATTTATTGTATTGTTATTATTATTTACTATATTCCCCATTCTCCTGTACATTTAATTCCTGTGACTCGTTTATTTTGTACCTGGAAGTTTGTACCTATTAATATCCCTTACCTCTTTCACTCATTCCCAACCCACCTTCCCTCTGGCAACTGCCTATTTGTTTTCTGTATCTGTGACTCTGTTTCTGTTTTGTTTATTCATTTGTTTTAGTGTTTATATTCCACTTATAAGTGAAATCATATGGTATTTGTCTTTCTCTGACTTACTTCACACAGCACAATACCTTCTAGATTTATCCATGTTGTTGCAAATGGAGAATTTTCTTTTTTATTGAGTAATATTCCAGTATGTGTGTATGTCTATGTATATGTCACATCTTTTTAACCTATTCATCTGTTGACTTAGGTTGCTTCCATATCTTGGCTATTGTAAATGATGCTCAGTGAATGTAAGGGTGCATATATCTTTTCAAATTAGTGTATTTGTTTTCTTCAGAAAAAGACCAAGAAGCAGAATTGCTGGATCATATGGTAGTTCTGATTTTAATTTTTTTTTTTTTAGTTCTACCAGGTTATTGCTACAACCCATCTCCCTCCACCCTCATGCATGCATCAGTCATGTAACCCCACGGGCTGCAGCCCGTCAGGCTCCTCTGTCCATGGACTTTTCCAGGCAAGAATACTGGAGTGGGTTACCATTTCCTTCTCCTGATTTTAATTTTTTGAGGAGCCTATTACTTTCTTTGCTGGCTATATCAACTTAAATTATAACAAGCAGTGCATGAGTGTTCCCTTTTTTCAGATCCTTGCCAACATTTGTTATTTGTGTTTTTTAAAAAATTAATTTATTAATTTTTTTGGTCTTCATTGCTGTTCGTGGGCTTTCTCTAGTTGCAGTGAATGGGGGCTACTCTTCATTGCACTGTGCAGGCTTCTCGTGGCAGTGGCTTCTTTTGTTTTAGAGCATGGACTCTAGGGAGCTCAGTAGCTCAGGCCCTCAGTAGTTGCAGCAAGTAGGCCCTAGAGAATGGGTTCAGTAGTTGTGACTCATGGGTTGAGTTGCTCCAGGACATGTGGAATCTTCCTGGACCAGGGATTGAATGGGTGTCCCCTGCATTGGCAGGTGAATTCTTTTTTTTCTCCGTTTTTTTGTTTGTTTTGTTTCTTTTTTTTCCCCACTGTTATTTTTTGTTTTGTTTTTCTCAATTTTTAAAAAATCTTTTTAATTAATTTTTTTCAAACCCTTGTGTTGAGGGCTGATTTTCAATAGATAGCAGCGAGGGAGCTGCGGTGCTGTGTATGAAACCCTGATAGCATGTGAATTCTTAACCACTGGACCACCTGGCACAACCTATTTGTGTTCTTTGTGATGATAGCCATTCTGATTGATGTGAGATGATAACTCATTGTGGTTTTGATTTGCATTTCCCTGATGCGACTTAGCATGCATGCATTGGAGAATGAAATGGCAACCCACTCCAGTATTCTTGCCTGGAGAATCCCAGGGATGAAGGAGCCTGGTTGGCTGCCGTCTGTGGGGTTGCACAGAGTCGGACACGACTGAAGCAACTTAGCAGCAGCAGCAGCAGCAGATGGTTAGTGATGTTGTGTCTGTTGGCCGTCTGTTTGTCTTCTTTGGAACAATACCTATTCAGGTTCTCTGCCCATTTTTAAAGTAAGTTTTTGTTTTTATAATGTTGAGGTGTATGAGTTCTTTGTATATATTGAATATTAATTTCTTATCAGATATATTATTTGCAAAATAACTTCTCCCATTCAGTAGGCTGCCTTTTCATTTCATTGATGGTTTCCTTCGCTGTGCAAAAAGCTTTTTATTTTATGTGGTCCCATTTGGATTTTTTTGCTTTTGCTTCCCTTGCCTGAGGAAAAATACATCCAAAAATATATTGCTAATAATACAATATTGTGAATCAACTATATTTCAATGAATATTTTTAA